ATCTATTTGTCATTTCCACTGTATAATTTTAAGGGGTTTGATTTAGGTTATACCTGAATGGTCTAATGGTTTTCCCTACACTTTCATATTAAGTCTGAATTTGGCAATGAGTTCATGGTCTGAGATTTTTTCTAGATTTGGGCTGCTATAGACAATACTGCTATAAAGATTCTTGGGGATATATGTTTGTGCCCTACATTCTGTAGTGTTCATATTCAGAGTGAAGTTGCTAGGACATAGCTGTCCATATCTTCATACTAGGCAATTTCTTATGTAGCACTCAAAATCAGGCAGAGTTAACTTGCATATAAGTATTTTCAGTCTCTACTAGATATGTCAAAATGTTTTTCAAAGTGTTTGCACCAATTTAAACATCCCTCAAAAGTCATGTTAACTCCTATTTCTTCATATCCTTCACACTATTTGGGATTATCATACTAATTTTGTCATATTTCTTTCTGTTTCTCATCCCTACCCCTCCCTTCTTTTTTGATTTTTTGTTTGTTTATCCCTTTATACCCTGGATATTAAATTCTAATCTGTAACAGGTCACTAATTCTCTATTCATCTGTTTCCAATTATGCTGATAAACTAAGTCATTTAGTTACTTACTTTGGTCATTGTCTAGTCTAACTCTTAAATTTCTGTTTAGTTCTTTTTAATTTTTACAATGACACTTTCTTTAGTTTTGTATTTCCTGCCAAAAGATTTCTTCTATTTCCTTAAAAATAGTAAACACAATTTTTATAGTATGCATTTGAAAATTTCAGCATTTAACTTCTTTAAAGGATGTTTTTGTTATATATTATTTCTGCTGCTTCTATATATGAAATAGAATTTCCTTTTACATAATTAGAGAAGGGAATGGCCAACCCACTCTAGTAATTCTTGCCTGGAGAATTCCATGGACAGAGGAGCCAGGCAGGCCTCAGTCCATGAGCTCGCAGAAATCAGACACGACTGAGTGACTAACACTTTACACAATATCTTTAACTTTTGCTTGGACAGAATATTCAACCAATTGTTTGAAGGGACAANAATTCCATGGACAGAGGAGCCAGGCAGGCCTCAGTCCATGAGCTCGCAGAAATCAGACACGACTGAGTGACTAACACTTTACATAATATCTTTAACTTTTGCTTGGACAGAATATTCAACCAATTGTTTGAAGGGACAATGTAAGAATTAAAATGAAAATACTTTCTTCCCAGAGGATTTTTTTTTCTGTCAGGAATCTGGAGTCTATCAGTCTCACACCAACTTAACTTGCTTTAAAATATGAAACAAATTATGGTATCTTGTGTTTTAATCTACTCACTGAAAATTTTGAAGTTCAAAGAGATGAAGTTGAAGTAAGATGCACTATGACAATGCCTTTGTCTTCTGTACATTATTGTGTGATTTTGAGTTGAAACTTTTGTTTCTAATTTTTCTTATCTGTTAAAATAATGCATGCCTGTAACCCCCAGCATAGTAATTTTCCTTTTTTGTTAATATCTATTTGGCAAGGTCAAGTCTTAGTTGTGGCAAGTGGAATCTTAAACCTTTAGCTGTGGCATACAGAATCTAGTTCCCTGACCAGGGATCCAACCTTAGCCCCCTGCATTGGGAGCATGGAGCCTTAGCCACTGGACCACTATGAATTTCCCTATTTCCATTATTTTTACAGTTTCCTTTGTATTGCTCTGGTCTTCTGTTCATGCCAGTCATGGTGTGTGATACTTAAGTTTTGCTTTATGTTTTTTGAGTACATAACTTTCCCAGTAGCAGGTTATAATTGTTTTGAAGATGGTGTCCATGACTTTTAACCAATATCTCTCACTATATTGAGTGTAGTAATTTGGTTCAATAACTGCTTAATGCATATTAAATGGATGACTCAGTGAGTAAATAAATTTTGGAAATAGGTACATGGATAAAAGTGATTAAACCAAACTCAGTATTACTTGCCATAGAGAAGGAGCAAATATCTTGTCTATTATCGGTCCCAGAGTTTCAGTCGAATTTCTGTTGCTATGTTTACTTGTCCACTATATTGGCTGATTGTCCTCATAAAACACAACTGGTCTTAGGTAGGATTTATGCATAGCAATCCCAATGTGTAATAGAGCTTAAAAACAAAGCTTAAGAACATTGATCTAGAGGATAGTGATAAAATGTAATAAAGTTTATTTAGGATGTAAAATTAAAAAGCGTGTTCATCAATAATTCATCAACTCTCTTTAAAAAACCCTTAGTGTAATCATTTTTATTCTGTATCTTTAATCATTTGTAGCTGATGTTGCTAGGAACAGATTTTGACAACAGACTTCTGAAAGGGATCCATTTGCCTAGGGATTTACTTATAAAGTTGCAATTAAAAATATTTTCTAGGGGTAAATTCAGCATACTAAGCAAATATGACACAACTTAGCATATTAAACAATTGTTCTAAAGATATGTTAATAGAATTGAAAAGAATCACTATTTCATATGAAAGCATACATTGGGGTATTATTTTTGCCACATAGAGCAGTTAGCTTTGCATTATAATTAGTCCTCTTAATTTTCCAAATGTCACCCTAAAGACTTGTTTTCAATTTCCTGGTGATTAAATTGCTGCTGAACCTAAGAGATTTGTTAGATTTTAAGTCCATGGATAAATAAAGAATATATATGGTCAAAATATTGGTAGAGGACCAATAAAGTATTTTATGAAGCATCTTTTCATTAGTTTGTCGATGGATAGATGTTCAAAATATAACAATGAATGAGATGTGTATAAGGAAATAAGTAAATGCTCTCTGTGCCAGCATGCATAACATAATATAAATAAACAATGCCCAATTAATTCTAGAATTTCCTAATCTTACTTTCATGCTCTCTGAATATGATCTTTATTTTGGAATTTCTTTGAACTATTCTGAATGATTTTGTGACTTCAGGTCACAGATGCATTGTGCAATGCATTATCATTAATTAGGTCTGTGTTTTGTCCAAACAACCAAATGAACAGTGATAAACTCTGCTATGTTAGCTGGAAGTTTTCATTTAGAATCAAGAAAATGTTCTGTATTTTATGCATAGTATTAAAGGATTTGTTGGATTTTTACTTTTTATTTAGTTGATATCATTTAGATTAAACAAGTCAGAATTGTTAAAAATTTTCATTCATTCTCAAAGTTTCCAACCTATTGATATATAACAATCTATCTTTGTTCATTAGCATCAAATACTGGTAAAACCGAAAAAAATATCTGGAGCTTAACAACAATAAGAAATTGAGCTTTTCTTTCTTTCTTTTTTTTTTTTTTTGCATTTTAGAGCAGTAGAGAGTCAGTGAGAATCTTCTATAGCATTTCAAATGTCAAGGACATGCATTTCTGTATTATTTCTCTATTATGTGTGAGCTAAGATAGTTACCAGAGCTTCCAGCTGTTATGTGTTCATTCCAGCTGGAAGAAGTAGAAAGGACACAAGAGTTGCGCCAACCACCCTGGTTACATCACACTTTTCAGAACTAGTCACATGGTCTCACTTTGCCTAAAGGGAGATTGTGGATTGTCTATATTCTCAACTGCTGATTTGAAAATAGATATGTATAATCAATGAAGAACAATTAATTGTTCCTACTACTGGGGAACAAATAGCAGTCATCTCCTTCATCTAACTGCTCATTTACTGATTTATTTTGCTCTAAGATAAGTTATAAACAGTTAAACAAGACCATTTCTTTAATAAAAAAGTATCAGCAATTTGGAAAACCAAGATTTTTTGAAAATTACAAATACCACAATGTCAACATAGTTATGGATGAGCATTGTGGTCTCCTGGGTATCTAAAGTGAAATAGGATATCTAAATGATTATTTACTTTATTTTTATTATTTACTTTATTTTCATTATTTTTAAAAAGGCATTACTGAAGCAAAATTAAGCTCTCTTGCCTCTGGACAATATAAAAACTTATGATAATATTTATGGAGAACTGAATGTTATGGTGGACAATATTCCTATCATAGATGCAGTTGATTTTATAAGGCACTGACTTAGTGTCTTTGAGTAAGAGCCAAAAGCCAAGTATTATTTTACAAATCAATGAAGGCTATTTTGTGAATCCTTAAGGTTACAATCCTTAGGTATTCGGACTTAGACAAAGGATAAATTTTAACCTGCCCACAGGACTAGGTAGATATATACACTGTGGATGGTTATCTGTAAATATTACTGTTGCTGAAAGTTTTCTGAACAAGTTTAGGAAATTAAGAAATAGGTTATCTAATTTTCTGTAGTCTGCCAGCATATGTCAGACCAATTTAGGGCTCATAACACCAGGTGCTCTAGAAAGTGAAAGGGGATCATTTGTTAACTGTAACAGCACAACAATACAAAAAGATGAAAGGTAGAAATGGAAACCAATTTGCTAAATTTACTAAATTACACAGATTACCAAGAAAGTAAGTGAATTTCTCATAACAGTAGTGGAGAAACTACTTTTGCAATGAAATGGGTGTTTCTATCCAAGTTTCAAAATTACTTAGCAAATAACTCCCAATGTGATATTATAAATTTTAACTAAATTATAAATTCTTAGAATTTTTGTATCTTTTCAAAACAATTTGTGTCTATTATATCTCTTAAAACATTTTTTATGTATTTTTACAAATATAGAGGACAGAAACAATAAATTCATGGTTTCTTAAATATAATTATTATTGTTGATGAATCTTAGGTTCATCCTGAAATGGCAAGATGAATGAATATATGGTTCCTGAACTTTTGTAATCACTTGCATCTAATATTTTGATATGTTAATAATTAAATGAGAGATGACAAGAAACTGGGTGATTAAACATTGTTTGATAAAATGATGCATTAGTAACACATAAGTTTTATTTCAAAGTTATTCTCTCACAGTATGAAATCAATTTTAGACTGTAAGCTAAATTCTTTGAAGAATTAATCTTTGCTTTAAAGGAGCAATATAGATTGACACCAATGATTTCTTTTAATTCCATATAGGAAGAACCTTTTGTAATGGTGTCTGAAAATGTCCTGGGTAAGCCGAAAAAATACCAAGGCTTCTCCATTGATGTTCTGGATGCCTTATCCAACTACCTGGGTTTTAACTATGAAATTTATGTTGCACCGGATCACAAGTATGGAAGTCCACAAGAAGATGGAACATGGAATGGCTTGGTAGGAGAACTAGTGTTTAAGGTAAGCATTTGTTTGTTTATCACATATCTAAAGAGTGCACCACATTTTTAAATATTATGCTTTCCTAATGAGTTAAATAGTCATATTTAGGTCTATAAATTACTATTTGATTTCTGTGTATTTCATTTTACCCTCTGTTCCTTCATTTCTGGCCTTTCTTTGGGTTAGCTGATTTTTTCGGTGTTTAATTTTATTTCCCTTTTAGCTTCTTATTTGTATTTATTTGATTTTTATTTGTTTGTCTGTGGTTAGTCTATAGGCATTCTTAACTTATCACACTTTATATAGTTTAAAATCATATCATTTCTCATTTAAAAATAATAAATGTACAGCAAAATAATACCATTTGTACTCACCGTAGCCTTTGTGTTATTGTGGTTATATATTTATATTTGATGAACTCCAAAGTAAAATTTTATACTTTTTATTTAAACAATCAATTGACTTTCAAAAGTATAAAGGGAAGGGAAACAATGTCTAATATTTTAACTATTTTTCTACTATTTCTGGGGCATTTTATTCCTTTCTATACATCTGAGCTTCTAACTGGTATCACTTACTTCAACCGGAAGAAATTCCCTTTAGAATATCTTGAAGTCCAGTCCTACAAGTGACATATACTCTTTACATTAGCTTACCTTAAAATTTCTTTGTTTACCCTCATTCTTGAATAATATTATTAGCATATAACAAACTCTGAGTTGACAGGATTATTTTCGATAGGTACTTTTTGTCTTAGTGTTTTCAAATATTTCAAGTAGTGACCCTGCTAATTTTATGTTTGGCAAGAGCACTGAGTCTCAGAACACAATCACTTATAATCAAAATATCTTTTTCTTTATACTTTTTTATTGTCTGAGAATAATATTATAGGTGAAATATTATTATTCCTAAAATCAAGGCTGGTGATTTTAAAGCAAGAGTAACTTTTTATTTCAAAAATCAAAGCAAAATTGTCATTCAATAATTATTCATACAATAATAAATGGTTTCATTATTTTGCAATAACATTGATACGTAACATGGTTAACATACATACATAATGTAGTTATGTATCAATGTTTACAACATAAGATAAATAGTTTCAAGTTTACAACATAGTACTTTGATGTATGGATATATTGCAAAATGATTACCACAAGAAGTCTAGTTAGCATTCACTACCGTACATATTTTTTAAAATGTTCATGACTTTAAATATTTCAGTCTACTGTCTTTTGCCAAATATTGTTTCTGATGAGAAGTTAGCCATCATTTGTACTTTGCTCCTTTTTTATAGTGGAGGGGTGGTCATCCCTGAGGTCTTATTCATTTTATTATGATATTTTACTCTCTGAACTTTAGATTAGTTAATATATCTTGATGTGCGTTCAGGTTATTGATTCTTATTTTGCCATCTCCAATTTCCATTAAGTTCATTCAGTAGCTTTTTTATTCTAGATAGCTAAAATTATTCTCATGCTTGTGTTGGTTAGAAGTCAACCAGTGATTTGAGGGAAGCTTATACATAGATTATGGGGCTTCTTTCTCTGTGGCTCCCTCCTTAATGTGAGTCTGTTTTGATTTCTGGACAGTCTGGATACCTCAAGCACTGCCCTCTGACACATCAAGCTAATAAGATTCTTCTGACTTTTTGCATGAGCTCTAACTACCCTCTATTGCCTAAGTGAGGTGTGTTCTCAGTGAATGAGCTCTAGAAAAAAGGCACTATCCCCAAGCAGTTACTGTCTTTAAAGGGTTGAAGAGCCTACAGTTTATGCCTGTTTTTGACTGATACACAATCTATTCAATTTGTGGGTTTTTTTAAAAATTTGACCTAGAATTATCATTATTCTTTGTTGGGTTAACCCAATTAAAATAATATTCCCTTATTACCAGAACTGGAATTATTTATAAAAGTTTTCAAAAAACTAAAGGATCTAGTTGTTTCCAAGAGATGTAGAAGAGAAACAAATAAGAGGTGTTGAAGACAGTGGTAGGAAAAGTAATAAAGCTGTTTTTCATATTCTTTAAAACTTGAAAAATAGTATCAGTTTATTTAATAAACCCTTTACATATGTAATTTTATTTGTAAAAGGTTAATATAAGGATTATAATAGGAAAACAGGAGTCATCAATCCTCACCGCTTGTATTAAATCTATGACTTGTCTTATGTTCCTTACTATAAACACAAAACAAGCATCCTATCTTTCTATTTTTGAGGAGCCCTGCCTGAACTGAACCCAAATAAATTGTATTAAAATAAATATAAGGAAAAGGAAGAAATATTATACAAGTTTTTTCTGTGTATATAGTAGATAAAAATCTGTAAGAGGTATCTTAGTGGACAAGTAATAGTAAACTTCACTTACTGTTAATAAATGCTAGTTAAAAGTAATAAGCATTAAAATTAGTCTGATGTTGCTGCTGTTTTTAATTTGGTCGTGTGCTTGCTCCTGTTAGTTAAATTTTTGAGACTTACCTCCTCATCTATGAAATGAGGGATACAAGTGTTTTAGTGGGAATATCTCATCCAATTATAATCTTCTAAAATCATTTTAAGACTTGATTACATAAAAATCACACACCACAATAGTATGATGTTCTTCATCAGTTCAGTCGCTCAGTCATGTCCAACTCTTTGCGACCCCATGGACTGCAGCTCTCCAGGCTTCCCTGTCCATCACTAACTCCCAGAGCTTGCTCAAACTCGAGTTGGTGATGCCATCCAGCTGTCCCATTCTCTGTTGTCCCCTTCTCCTCCTGCTTTCCATCTTTCCCAGCATCAGGGTCTTTTCCAATGATTCAGTTCTTCGCATCAGATGTTCTTCATAATAATTTGTTTTTATCTGCATGTAAGAACATATTATTATATGATAATATAAAGATCAGCAGGGTCCTTTCACAAAGCAAAAATTCAGGTTTAAAAAAGCTGACTGACAAATGTGTGTTTTTTTAGCTGGAAAAACTAGAAATGTATTTACTGCAATTAGAACTACTAACCTAATCTGTCGGATCGTAGACTTTCAAGGGACTTGTGATCCATGCTGTTACTGTGTACTTTTACTTAGATGCCCCCCACCCCATGCCCTGGTGGCTCAGAGGGTAAAGAAACTGTCTGCAATGCCGGAGACCTGGGTTCAATCCCTGGATCAGGAAGATCCCCTGGAGGAGGAAATGGCAACCCACTCCAGTATTCTTGCCTGGAGAATCCCATGGACAGAGGAGCCTGGTGGGCTACAGTCCATGGGGTCACAAAGAGACAGACACGACTGAGTGACTAACACTATTTACTGCAATTAGATTTTCACTTCCTTCAAAAAGATATTTAGCCATTCTGACTTGGGCTTTAAGAAATACTTGTTAAGCAGGTAAAAAAGGAGAAGCCTACGTAAGAGTTAGCGGGAACAGGTGGTGAGATGGGAAGAAAACTGAGAGTGGTACAGGAAGAGAACATTTTCACGAGAGGACAGTCAGCATTATAGGATGACTGCGATAATGTTATACTGAGGGTTCACAGAGTTCTCTTTAACTGTCTTCTATTACCAGCAGAGAAGTATGCTCTAATTTTAAGCAACTTAAAAATGACAATTCAAATACACAAATAGTCATGCAGTAAAAATATCATAAAGTAATTTAGATTAGTCAAGACTCATCATATTAAAATTTTATCTGGCTTATACACACATCATATTAAAATTTTATCAGGTTTATTTACCCCTGTAGAGCAAAATATCACTATTGAATTGGCATAGTGATGTATGACAGACTCCAGAAAAGTGAGCTTATTATTGCTAAATATATTTTTACTAGTGTAGGCTTTTTTTCATGGATCTAAGTATGTTTTAAATAACAGTAAATACGGCCATTGAATACCTCTCTACATGACATAAGACATGAAATTAACAAGGTTGTCTGCCTTCCTAAGGGGAAACCAAAATTAAAAGAATATTTTCTAGGGTCTTTGTCATGATGATTATGGAAAAATACATTAAAAATGATCCAGAGAGGGAACATGGGAAATTTCTGAGTTCATATGATTGTTCAACAGTGATTTCCAAGGCTGACGCTGAGACATCAGGTTGGGATGATCTCATGTTAAAGGGACTTTCCACTATAACAGAATGTCAGGAATCATGTATGTACATAATCAAGTACATACATAATTCTTAAACTGGAAAATACCACCAGGGAGAGCAAGGAATTGCCTAAATGTACATATAGAATTGATTTAAAAAATGACAGTGTAGCAAAGTCTCCTCCATTCCTTATCTGCGCCACTACTTTTATAACTTTCTGCAGTTAATATGCTCTTAAAATTTATGAGAACACAGATCTAGCCAAAAGATGTTTCAATGTGAAATAGATAAATTAGAGATATGTTCTGTTCCGTATAGGAGTAATTGTTATGTGTGAGTTAGTGTGACTGATAAATTATTTTCTCTGGTGTAAAAGAACAAAAGTGAGAAGAGCACAGAGACCTTGATACTATAGAAAATAACAAGTATATCAAGTTTAGGATGGAAGTACAAAAAATTAAGAAAACAATGAAGTTATGAGTTATGAGTTAGCTGTGTATTCTAGTTTTTAGTTCTTTGTTTTAGGTAGCATTTTTAAGCCTAATGAATCAATATATTGTGTACTAAGGTAATAATAACTCAATCCAAAAGAAATATTTTACACCTGAAACATTATGGCCACAGGTTGTTCAACAGAGATTGAATTTGAATATATACTTTTTGTACAAAGGTATAATTTGGTAAGCAAACAAAAACACTTTTAAGCATGCCTTTATTTTATATTTGGATAAAAATGTTGTGAATGTGGAATATAAACATAGTTCAAAGATGACATAATATAAATATCCCCATCTGTTTGAGAAAAGTGGGGTTCAAATCACTATAATATTTAGATTCTAATGTGTACATTTTAAAGAATGATTTTTACAACTTTATTTTACTTTATCAGTATTTACAACACAACTCATTTAAATTAGGAAAATAGAAACCACTCTTGGAAT